TACACTTGCCAAAAAGGGATTCAAATTCCTATTCACAGAAATTATTTTGATCATCTCAGGCTAAACCAATAAATTTATGCAGCAAACAGGAAATTTTTATTTTAAAAGTCTCATTTAAGCCTACTTTTCATATCTATCTTCTCCCCAGTCTAATTATTACAGATTGATAGAGTAAATTTACTGAAGTATTTATTCACTTTTATATAAATATACATATTTATCAATTGTCTTTGGTTTTAACAGTTTTAAAATGGGAAATGGTATTTTGTATTTACTCATTATTTCTTTCAAGCTACATTCAGACAGCAACTGGAAAACAACAGAAATGCACAAAACTAGTAACCTATCCAAAATGCTGATTAAGTAAAATGGATTTTTTTTTAAAGATTAAAAAAAAGCAAGTGAATCAAACACTCACTCCTACTGCAATCAGTTTCAATGTCTAATGCAAACAAACAGGTATCTATTTGAGCTTTTCTGTCAGGGGAGTCCTTTCTAGGGGGATTTTTTTTTTAAAACTAAATTAGCATTGAAAAAAAAATACCAGGACAGGGACTGAAGAAGCAAGCTGCCATGCAACCATCCACCAAGAAGTTTTTCCTCAGCCGTTGTTTCTGTTCTTGATTTTGTTTCAAACAGCATTTGAATTTTAAGCGCCTTTGTCATATTTGGAAACGGCCCACAGTGAGAATCATGCAAGATGCCAGTTTCAGAGAAGCACAGCTTCACCAAGAAGTACCAGCAACTATTCCCTTCTCCCCAAAATAACAGTTGCCAATTAATATGCAATAGTGAAGTTTAGAGTGTTTAAATGTTGACCACTTGAAGTTTAAATGCTGCTTAAAAAGACACTAGCTCTGTTGTTTAGAATGGTCAGATTTTGGTTTTGCAGCTACTGTGGATTAAACAAGACAAAAAGCAAAATGCGAGAGCAATCTGCAAAGTCATCTGTTATTGGATATATCCATTGCTGAATACACCAAATTCTAAACACACAACTAGACCCAGTTGTGCTACAGCATTTTGCAGCTCAGAGCTCACAGTACACAGCAAACAAAGCAAGAGTGCGAAGAAAAAAAATTAGAACTTGAAGAATGATCATATTACAAACTTTGTCCATTTAGCAAATAGCAAGTACCACATCTTGTAAACCTCTTTTTGTCAATTCCCATGCAATACAGCATAATTTCCAAAGCACAGAACTAAATGTCTCTTTAACTGGTTGACTATGTGATGCAGCTCCAAGTATGAAGTTGTACATCATTTCAGATTTTACTAAATATACAAATCTCTTTGGTTTCAAGACTATGCTTTCTGATCTCTCAATTCATTTACAAGAAAGTAGTTGTATTTCCCATAATTTGTAAAAAAAGTTGTGAAACGTTTTACATACTCTTTGTAATAATATGCTTTTTTATAGTAAGTCTCAACTAAAACTCTTTACAGATGCAAGTTAGAATTTATTCTTTCAAGCTTTGTTTCATCTGTTTTAATCCGGTTTTTCCTCATGAGCCTGGTTGTATTTGAATTACAGGTGACCTGTAGTTGAATTTCAGTAAATCTAAACAAATTCAGAAACAATTTCCTACAGTTTTTGATCCAGAGCTTTTAAAGAGCAGCTTTAAAATGATGACGCATAAGCACGGATATGCATCAGTAACTGTTTTAGTTTACTGAAGATCTTAGGTTGGTTCTGCACAAAAGTAAACTATTTTGGATTTCATGTAACGTTGTATCACGTGGAAAATCAAGCAAGTGACTCATCTCAAGCTTTATGCAAATATCCTAACCCTATATGGGAAAGGTCTCACTGGTTTAGAGCAGCACCCACAGAAACGCGTATCTCTGCTTTTATTTAACTAGGATGCAGCCAGTTTCTCAAGAACAATATAGTCATCTTTTATTCCTTTGAGTGACTTCTAAGTATAAGGGAAAGCAAAACAGAAATGCCCTAACACAAGCACACTTGTATCTCTGTGAATACAAAAGTCAGTACATAAAATGGAAAAGCTGTCATCTAGACAGTCACCATATCTAGGCCATTCTCATTCAATAAATCTAACAGCAATTATGTCCTGATTAAGGCTACAATAAAATTCATTTCCCACAGAAGTCCCAGTTTTGAATTTCCTTTTGCTACTAAAAGAAATTAATACATTGTTTTTTTCCAGGACACCAGCTCTGTATGAAAAACATGGGGTTTTGTTGCTGCTGTTCAGGTATGTGGAGTAACTGAAGAAACTCCACTGTTCCTTAAAAATCCCCACCCTGATCCCACACGTTAAAAGCACCACAGCAGAAAAGGTTCTCCATAATGTTTCTAAACAGAAATTCAATTCCCATATTTTTTAGAATTATAATGAAAAACCTGAAAATCATGCCAGCTTCTGACAGTAGTTGTAAAAAACAGCTACCACAGTAGTATTAACATCTACAAGTATCTGAGCACACCATCATCTCTTGTCAGACCCTTCAGCATTTACATCAGCAATTTTCCACAAAATAGAAGGGATTTCAAGCTACTTGCACTAAGTATTTCCCCGCAAACCAAACTTGCAGCACTGCAGCTGACCAGACTTGCTCTCAGCAGCAGCAAACGCTGCCTTCCACAGCATCTGCCATAAACTACAGCTAACACCATGTCCACTTGAACTTACCAGAACAGAAGAAACGCTGGACTGTCACGTTAAAAAAAGTGCTGCTTATAAACACTTCTGCTGAATTTTGAGGAAATAGAGGACTCGGCTCCCTCTTTTCAGGAGATTCTGCAAATAACAGCCAGCTGAGGCCCAGCTGCAGGTTAATGCGGGGCACTTGTTGATTAAACAGGTTTCAGGCAATCCCTTTGACACAGGTGCTGCCCTGAATAAACTAACAAAGAGCTGACTAGTTGGCAAGTTAACCCTTTTTTGCCACCTAATCAGTGACTAGTTCAGCCAAAGCTGAGATCCCAAGTGCAAGTCTGGCCTCCCAGGGCAGTGCCCAAGGTACGTTCCTTTATGGGCGGAAGGAGGGGTATGTCCTACTCACCAAAGCCACTAGCAAAGCAGTCCAGAATGGGGGTGTCTTCACAGGCTTGCTCATGGAGCAGAAGGTAAAGATGTCCTTTTCCACAGAAGGGCTGCGGCGCTCGTAATGTGCCAAACACCGCGCTGCACCGCTGCTGCTGCTTCCCCAAGGAGTGCTTGATGCCAGCGCACAGCTGCCCATCAGCGTGCACTGGCTGGGTGCAACGCAGCATGGCATGCACACGTACAGTCGTGCTTTCAGTTTGGGAAAGCATCTCATGACCAGTAGGGCCCTTTCTAAAACAAACTACCTGCCAAATGAACTCCCCATGAAATATTTTGGCTCTAAGATCAGAAACTATTGCTTCTATCAATAATAAAGCGTTTCCTAAGTCAGCAGGAGATCATAAAGAGAAGACTTTCAGGATTTCCATTTGGCAAAATACACCTTCCTTTCTTTGGGTTTTTTTCCCCTCCACCTAGCCTAGGAAACCCACTGCTGGCTTGAGAGAAATACAAATTGCACTTCAAGAGCATACCAATTTCCCCTCAAAATCTTCTGATACAAGGCTATGAATGTTGTTGAACTTAAGGATGTGTGAAGTACGAGCTTTGCATAACAAATGTTACTGCTCAATATACTGGGCACTTACCACAGACATGACAACTATAGCCTTCGCTTAATCAGATCATCGTTCTGCTATACAAAACATAAAAAAATAACTCTACTGCTATCAGTATAACCGTATCAGTATAAAAATGAAGAAAGCACAGAAAACTTGATCATCATTGCATAAACACCGAGAGTACTTTAAATGCATTAGCCATAGCACCTATCTCCTCTATTGTGAATATACATTGAATCACAAGAACCCAATACTCCACTGAAGGTCTCAATTACAAATGTAATTTTATTTAATTTCTTCACTCGAACTCAATTTTCTCATTCCAAATCTTTACTGAAAGAGATAGTAGTTAAATGCTTAGAAAAAACAAGAACTGCTCTAGTAGGCAGCTAGAGAAATGTACGTATCAATACAGATATGGAATGTAAATTTCAACTCATATAGATCACAACATACAAAGAAGATTTTTATGCAATACAGACTTACAAAATAACAACAGTTCTTTTCACAAATATTTTCAGAGTTCTGCACAGCAATCTTGTAGAAAAGTAGATTTGTGCAACACCAAAATAACTTACTGTTCCTTAGTATAAATTATTTTTCATTTCCTAAAAGAAACGAGATAATTTAATATGATTGGGCAGGATCTGACAGGAGTTGGTGATAGCAAAATATAAAAGATATTGTTGCTATACGCAGAAAAGGAATATGGCATGTGCTGCAGTATTGCAGGGGCTAGCTCTGGGACAAAAAAGAAAGTCGCCTGCAAGTCTAGTGCTTCTGCTGCTGTACAGAGGCTGTGCACCAGCAAACACCTGCCTTTTAGTGCTTTCACAGTCAACCAGCAGAAGTGTGCTTTGGTATTCGCACCTATTAAAAAATACCTGCCTCTGTGCGTTTCTAATTTGAGTTTAAAGTCTTCAGAATAGCCTTTCTGATTTTGAGGAACAATCCACATTTTGGTGTGCTTTGAAGGAGATGCCAGGTAGAAACTAGAAGGATTCACGCTTGATGTTACACAAGCTCCATTCCCAAATTGTCTCTCTCAACTGCAGAAAACATACAACTAAAAAAGAACTAATTGTCTAGGCCTAGAAACATGCTTGAATAGTAACATTGATGGAAACGCTGAGTTTAAAATTACATTAACCATAATTTAAATATTACTATTGATTCCCAGAAGCTTCAGTGCTGATGGTAGTACAATCATTTGGAAAAGTATGAGACAAAGTGTGGTACAGATAGCACAGATTAAAACTCCCCAAACATCGTAATTAATTTCCATTATGTTAAAATCATATATTCTTCAAGGTTATAGATAAAGCTTCAGATGGAAAATCCATTTCTTCATAATATAGCTAGAATGTGAGTTTTAACCATCTTTACTTTAGGCTTCTTTTACATACAGGGATCAAAATAGACTTCTTGTTATGACTAAAAATATAGATTTTTTTTAACTACAGAACCCAGCAGCCATTTTTCTGCTTCTTTGCCCTTCCCCCAAAAAAGTCAAGCAAGGTCTACAAAAATAGCAATTAACTTTAAAAAATAGGTTGCTTCTTCCAGCAAATTTAAGTTACATTCAGATGTAATATAGCTATTTATAAGGAACAATGTTGTGGCAAGACACCAAGGGAGGCGTGCTGTGTTCAGTTTCCTTCTGACAACAGCTGCCCACATCGATGCTAATCTTGGTCTCTGCGAAGATCAGTATCTGGTTTGATACTCATGGTGCCAACGATTGAAGTCATTGTAGAAAACCACTATGCTCCCAGATGCCATGCCAGTCATTATACACCTAAGGAAAGCACAAGACCATATTTGTTAGTGAACCACCTCACATACAGGTATATGAGTCAACACACCGAAAAGTTACATCAATATAGGCATGAGAACCCAAAGCAACGACCAACTTCCACCGAAGACAGCTGGAGCTGGAAGTGCTCCACATACCAGAAAAGTCAGGCTTTAGGGGCTCCCATCTTGCACTTCCAAGGACTCCATCAAGCTGGATTTGAATAAAACTGCCAGGTACACCAGCTCTGACAGATTTATGGATCGGAAAACACACAAAACACCATGCAACAGTTTGTATGGTCGGTCTGAAGCTACAGTTGAGAGCTAGACAACAGCATTGTTTACCAGCATCACTATCCTGCAACGCCACTTCAGATTTCCTGGGATTATTTCTTGGCTTGCTTAGCTGGGTTGGGGCGGGGGGCGGTGTTAGAGTGGCATGAAGCCCTGGTGAAGCAGCGAAGTGAAGGAAGGCTAGGAGGAGTGTTCAGTTCAGTTTCACCTCCCCCATTTAAGCACATGATCAACATGAAGGAACTGGATGTGGGCACAGACTTCAGTTGGAAATATTAGTGTTTGGGTTTGAAAGCAATCTGAAGGCTTTGACTGTTTTGGAAGTTCCTGAAAGCAATCACTGTGCTTTCCCACTGAGGCACTCTTTCTTTCTAAATTGGCCTTGGCTTACTACTAGAGATCATTTAGATGTGTTTGAAAAGCCATGACCCTGACATAGCACACAATTACAAGAGTTTCTATATCGTCTTTTCTACTGTCTCATATTAAAGTTTTATGAAAATCAAAAGCATGAAGATGTATAAAGTTCCGGCATTTTAGGAAAAAAAAATCAGAGTAAAAAGCTGTAATTTTTCCTTCAAAACAAAGACTAAATATGAGATCATCAAAACACTGCATTTTGGTAGTATCACACTATTTCATTTCAAGAGCACTATTTTGATTGTTTTTGTATTAGGTTAAAATGTCTTTTTACCGACTGTCACTCAAACACATACATGCATGCATACCAAATAAATTACTCTGAGTAATTACCTGTAATTACTGAGTAATTACTCAGTAAAATACTCTGAGTAAATCTCTTCTGAGTTTCTGTGTCTTCAAACCCAAAGTGAACAGGTTCCTAACTTGAGCACATGGATAAATTTATACATGTCCGTATTAAATTTCAGTTTATTCACATGCGAAGATTATGCTGACATGTCATTAATTACAGTTTAAAGAGTCTCCAAATGCAAAATTTTATACATTTCAGAGGTCTAAAAATCAACAGCTGTAACTCCAGCTTTTGAAATAGTTTTAACAGCAGGGGCTTTTTAATGGAAAATTGTTTCTTCCAAAATGCCTATAACCTCAAATTATGCTTAACAAGAAGTTGAATGCTTGATTGAAGTCCACAGATTTTGCTGGATTGGATTTTTTTAAGTTTATTTTATGAACTTCTATTTTAAGTTTTAGAAATGCAGTCCAGGTAAAAGTGTTAAAACATTCAGTATGGACTTCAGTAAGTGGAAGGTTAAGAGTCTCAGCAATATGCTTTACTGCACAATGTACACACTTCTAAGGGATTTAGGAGCCAAATCTGCTTGAAAAGTACACAGGAACTCCACTAAGCAAATATGCCAAAGTGAACAAAATTCTAGTCCGCAAGCTAAAAGTGTACAAATGAAATGGTAAACATCCATCTTATAAACAAACACTATTTTTGTGATAAAAACACAGACGGACTTTTAAGTACAGCCTCATTGGAAAGTGTAATGTAAAAATGCAGTAAAAACTGCGTTTTAGTAACTGATTGCCTTCAGTAGAAGGAAACTTCGAGGAGGGTCATGCTTTATGTGGATAAAATAACTTTTCTAGAAATGAAAATTAGTATTTGCTTTAGCAAAATACAGATGCGTGGAAGGAATTTTCTTGTGCAACTATTCTAACTGTTCTATTTTTAACATAAAGGTCTGGAATTAGGAATCTGATTTGTGTCATAAGTAAAAGGAGAAACATGAAAAGCACATATGTAACCTTCCACCTCCATGTGACCCGCACTGTACATTGGCACAGGCCAATAACTCAGCCTATCTTGAAAGTCTGCCAAAGTAAGATTTCTTGAATCGCTCTTCATTCCCCCAAGAGCTGAAATCCTGAAAAAGATTATCTGCCCTAAATACGACATGTTAGAAAGAACTTATGCAAGCACAGAATTCTCAATATAATCACCAGGATCTGTGATCCACAGAAAATAAAAATCAGAAGAAAAACAGAAATACAATTTAATTGTAAGTCTATATTCTCAGAAATTCTTGTGAAGACCAGACTTTGCTCTAACCTTTGGTCATATGACAGGGCCATGGATCGGATTCCAGCATCACACCCTGGATAAGCAAAAAGCTTCTTGAGGTCCCATGTCTGCCACACCATGACAATTCCATTGTCTCCACCTGTAAGCAGATACTGTCCATCTCGACTCAGTTGAATTGCCTAAGGAGAAATCACATGGATATTTGTCAGATAAATATGTGTTGCTCTTATTCCCCCTCCTTTACTTTCATAAAAAGTTTCATGTTGACAGCTGAATGTCTAGGGAGACTTGATATTAATACAAGCTTTTGGAAAGCAACATTATCGTTATGTTATTCTACCCAGCAATAGAATCAATGTTATTATGCTAATATTATGTCTAATACATTAGAAGTTACTAGTTCAGTTTTACCTCACCTGTGATCTATTCCATATTCCAAACACCTAATATGAGGTCAGCTAAAGAAATTTACTCTTCTAATTAGCTAGGTTTACAAGATCCAGCAGCACTGGCATTAAAATATAGTACCTGACATTCCCCTGAGGGTCTCCAGTACTAGCCTAGCAGGAGTTATCCCCCTTTTCTCTCTGGCAAAGGGCTGAATGATGGAGGAAACTGAAATGTTATACAAGTTACTAGAATTAATTCAGACCTGTAGTTTTGGATTCCTGCTCTCAATTACTAAGATAATGATCCACCTCTCTTAATAGAGACTGTGCTTCCTTTCATCATCTGTCCTGAAACTGCCTGTGACAAATTCAACGGCTTATACCCTGATTTTGGATATCATTGGTTTTTCACAGGGAAGACTTATTGAAACAGGAGTCTTCAATCTATTTTGATGTTTCTTGTGTGCTGTTGGAAAAATCATGATACATACTGAGTACCTGGAAGAACAGCAACTTTCCTCAGTTACCTGATGACTATACCAGATGATACTATCAGATATTAAGATGACTAGAAGCATGAGAAATATTTCTTGAAGAGGGATTTTGCCAGTTTAAATAAGCCAAAATGTGGTCTAAGAGAACTGAAATTGAAATTTTATTAAAATAAGTGATACCCTATGGGGTCAGACAGACCATGATCCATCTAGCCTGGTGCTGTATGACCAACAGTGGCAGCAGGAGATGAGGCTGGCCACTCTACAGTCCCTTCCCCTCTGCTCCTCAGCACCCACAATCACTGGATCAGGAATATCAGAAGGTATATCTCTGTCCATTGCCTTAAGTATCTATTTATGGACGTGCTGCCCATGAATTTTCTTAATCTCCTTCTGAGCCTGCTGATGCCTTCTGTGGGGAAAAAAAAAATGGCAGAAGTTTCATTACAGTGCAAAATAGTTTTATCTGTTTTGAAGTGATCCTACTAGTTTCAGTGAGTACCCCATAGCTCTCATATTGTGGCGTTTCCTGAGTAACAGTTCTGCATTCACCTCATCCATTGCCTTCATCACTCTGTAGACCTGCAGTATTCCCCACCTCAGAAAACACTGAATAAAACTGGTTCCCAACACCAACCCCTGGAAGACCCCATTACTGACTTTTCTCACAACAATACCAAGATCTTACACATCTTTTCAATATGGGTCTTAGCAATTACTACTACAGTAACCCTGAAGAGTACAAAACTCCTTCTGAAAGGAAGACCCTGTCCTGCTGCCATGCAGAAAAGAAACTTAAGCAGCAGACGTTACCAGGCCCTGACTTTATAGCCTCATTATCCAACTACCTGGGAAAGCTGAAGGGTTTGTAGGGTTTTCTTAAAACAAAAACAAAAACAAAAACCAAAACCAAAACCAAAAACAAACACCCCACCAAAAAGCTGAACGGACTCTGTCATGTGGAATGATATCAGCATGAGCTACTAGTGAGATCAAGACCCTTAAAACTACAGTTTGGACCATTACTAATAGTGCCTGTAAGCCCAAACCTTTTCCTATACTCTCTCCTCCTGTTGCCAGATGTCTCTTTTCAGCTCTTTTTCTGACTTTTGCTCCCCAGCTTGACTTCTGTCTTTTCCCTTCTCTGCTCTCTACTTTGATTTTTGTATGCAATACTCGGGACAGCAGCAGCCTATCATCCTCTTCATTTGAGCACACAGAATGGTAAGAAACAACTTTGCTAGTTGTTTGCTGGATGATTTACTGTTACCAAAAGGAAAATAAAGAATTTTGCTACTATGAACCACTATTATCTAGTATTAAACTCCTGATCCCACCTAATCCTTCATTACATTGCTCCTCCTTCCAATTCCTGTTTTTCCTTCACTCCTTTCTGCCTCTTCTTGTCTTCTCCCAGTCTCTGACAAATTTCTACATTCCCATCTCTACTTCTCTGTTCCTGTCACTCTTGCAAACATCTCTTTCATTCTGTCCTTGGTTCTATCCTCGATTCTGCTCTTCTTTCTCCTTTGCTTCCCCATCAGTCCTTCCCCTTGCTCGTCCAGCATCACTTCATTGCATTTCTTGCCATGGCATGTTTGTGCACCTCACTGTAGGGGATGATTGGTTGCAGGGGAAAACTCTGCATCCCTGGGCTACAGATGTTCAGTACAGAATGTAGATGCTAAGCATTATCTACTGAATGCATTTAACCTAAGATTTGTGAATCAGCTAAATTTGGGCAGCTTTTCAACAAAATACACATCCTCCACACCAGGACTAATTCATGATAAATTTCAGCTTCCTGACCCAAGGCAGGGAGCCACAAAATGTTTCAACAGAACAGTGTAAGCATGGAGGGTATTCAGAGCAATGGCTTTTAAATTCCAAACACACACGTTCTACAAATAGATTGATCCGCTTTAACTGAAACACTGTCACTGGAAGGCAAGGAAATTACTTCAAGATGATAGTCTACAAGCAAAATTCCAGCTCAAAGATTTAAATTTAGGAAACAGTAGAAAGAACTGAAGACAGGATCTTGCAAACATACCTTTCTCTGCTGAAGTCTGCAAGTATTTTGGCACTTGCAATCTCTGCTTCTACAGTTTTTCAATATGCAAAACTTGTAACATACTGTGATTTTAAATTCCTCAGGAAAAGGAATTTGTTGGGTTTTTAATATCCAGAATTTATAGCGCACGAACCACAAAAATTAGAGAAACTAAAACACAAAAATGTTACATTCATGTAACATTAAAGTGTTTATACAGACTGCTGACAAGCCTAGAAACCAAAATATACCGTGTACGTAAGATATTGCTTTGTGAACAGCAATAATTGAAGTTAGACATATTGCACATCTGTATTTTTTGTATTGCTGTTTATATCATATAATTTAAGAATTATATGATGTGCAACACTTACATTAAGAGTTTCCACATTATATTATAAATTTTGAGTGTTTGCTGCAACAACTCCCAAGTAATCAGAATGAATTACATTGCTAAAATTTTATTTCACGCAATAACTTTAAAATGAATGTAATTGAAATACAAACATATACTATAAACAAAATTCTACAACACTGAAAAAAACAGATGATAAACCTATTCCAGCTGTGTTTTGAACTACGATGACAACACATACATGTAAATTTAGACACAATAAAGCAGAATATGTGGATTTTTTTCCCAACCATATCTAAGTATGGAAAATTGAATACTAACCAAGGTTAGAGTTGAGTATTCTGAGCTGAAGCTTCTCCCCCCGAAACACAGATTTTCCAACCATAAGTTGCTTCTGTGATTGTTTCTGCCAGCGTACAAAACTATGCTAAGCACCTCCCAAAGCACCACCTCAAAGAGCTTGAAAACTCATTTAGAGACTGTCTTAGAAGAGTATAGTTACTCAGTAAGAAAGGGGTAGAAACCAAACTGAGATAAGACTATGAAAATTATCTAGAACTTGCATGCACTGAGTAGATGATCATGAGATCTAACATACCACACACAATTATTAAAAAGATTATTCATTAGGAGCAAAAATCAATATGGGGTGGTTTTCTTCTCTATAGCAATGGCAGTCTCCTAAGGGTATTTTCAAATTGCAGTGAAGACCGTGACAAATAATTATTTGCTACACTTATAAAATTCAGCTGATGAAAATCCATTAACCTTATGGTCATGGTTCACTTGAATTTTATACTTGAGGCTTTTACTGAAGAAATGCTATATTAAAAGGCAAATTAAAGCCATTAATCTTTAACTCTTCCACTACCTGCAAAATGCAGTGGGTTTTGTGATCTTTTGATTAAATAAAGTATAGGCTTTGAACCCTTACTAATACCTATGCAATTTTACAAAGTCATTGGCTTGACGTGAAGACAAGATGTTGATTTATTTATTTTTATTGTTTATTAATAAATTTCTCAGCCACTTGCCTCTATAGATATATCTATATGAAGGAAGGAATGAATGAAAGAAAAGGTCACCCTGTCAACATTTCAGTTTCATGACATGCCCTTCAAGATTTAACAAACGAAAGGATGCTTTTACTCCAAGTACTCCAACTGGTATAGAACACGACATGAATCAATTTTACTGTTCAGCTTTTCCCTAGCGTAGTTTATCTATGATTCTGCTAGGTATGAAACTGAAACAACTCTGCAACTAATCTTTCTCACAACGTGAGCTTCAGACTCTCAAATAATCCCCAAAGCGCACAATTTCAGCAATGTTCTAAAAGCTGCATTTCTGACTTGTATTTCCTCGGAATGTCTCAAAACTTTGCACAAATCCCTTTTAACATCTCAGATTTTTGAAAGGCAGTGCTTTGTAAAAAGGCAGAGCTGACACTGTGACAGCCCTGGCTTACAGCAGCAGGAGTCTTGTGGGCACTTCCACATTTCAAAACAGACTCAGGAAAGGAAAATAAATTGGTTCCTCTGGGTGAAACAGCATACAGTCTTTGTTTAGGGTAAAATAACTTTACTTCTCAGAACAAGCAGACTATTTAGAGTTAAGTTATTCATTAAGATATCTAAACATTACATGGTAGATGTACTGCGATATGCCTAAGCTCCACTGAGCAATACAGTATTTAAAACAAAAACAGGTGGAAGGCATTGATTAGACTTTGAATTTCCCCAGAGCGACTGAAATTTTTCTAGCAGTTTTCTAGCACGAGAATACAAGAAACAAAATCAGAATGTTGTTCCAAACATCACTATTGAAAACTGCTAGTTTTGTCAATAACGTTCCAAAATACAGGTCTATAATGACATAGGAAAATAGAAACTAGAATTTAACATTACAGATTCAACACTTATGACCTTTTCCTTCCCTTTTCTACCCTCCTCAAGCAAAAACCAACGAAAAGTGTTTGTCAGCACAGCTCATGGGTAGGTACTATTCATTTTAAATGCCCCTACTTTAATCATGCGGTTGCCACTTGCCTTCTAACATGATATAGTACAGAAGCCCTGGGAAAGACGCTGTAGATTGTTTAAGCATAAAGCCCAACTGGGACCACTGGGAGAGAAAGAAAACAAAACAAAACAAAATAAAACCCAATCCGCTGTACATATGTAATTCTGGCCCACAGAGAGCGGAACTTCCATTGCCTCTAGCAACATTCCTAAAGCTGTGGGTACTGACTGAAACACTGCAGAAATTGTTTTAGCCGGCAAGGGATTTCTAGATATTTTACAGATTTGCTGGCCTACCTGACAACATAATCACAACTGAAAGTGACAGATTATCAACATTATTATTGTAAAAAGAGAAAACACTGTGATATGTACTTGCTTTATGGAAAGAACTGGGATGAAGGGTAGGCTGAAAATCTCAAAAGCACTTGTACAAGGACAGCCAAAGGTGCAATTTCAGAGAACTGAAGAAAGATTAAAAATTGAAGCAAGACTCTACATTAATTTGGAAAAATGGCCTGGGACAGAAATATACACATTCCTACTTAATTTCCCCAGCCTCAAATCTGCACTTGTGGCTGCCACAGCATTCAACGTTTGAATGCCCTCTCACCCCTGCAGACAGCCCTTTCACTGTGGAAAAGAGACCTACACAGAGAGTTACTTCTGCATATTCCACCACCAATGTATTTGACATTTTGAAAACATAGGGATGCTAGAACAGATTATAGTACACAACAGAACTTTAGAAGGTTTTAAGTAGAATACACTGAACTACACTGAAGACTTCAGTGGTAATGGAGCATTCACTGTTCAATATAAGTTATAAAATGGAAAAGATGAACATCAAAATTCTTTCAAATATATTGACATATTCTTCCATCTTAAGAATTAATATGAATAGAGTCAAGAGAAGAAGAGGTGTGAATTTAAAAATGCTCACAGTTTTGCACAACATCTGAAAAATTCAATAATTCTGTAAAACGAACATGAGGGCGAAGAGGTATTTTCTCCCTGAAACATCTAATCCAAATAAAGGAAAAACTTTTGAGGTTTCAACTCAAGAGAACATTGGAAATCCCAGCAGCTGGGCTCTTCCATCACGTTATGAAAGTCAGCTTGGAGTGTAGTGCTGCTATACGCTTACAACAACAAAGCTCCTCTCTTGCTCTTGTTAAATAGTTAAATAGTTTTATATAGGAAACACTTCTTTACTTGTGAGGATGACTAAGCACTGGCAAAGGTTGTCCAGCGAGGCTGTAGAATCTCCATTCTTGGAGATATTCAAAAGCCATCTGGACATGGTCCTGGGCAACTGGCTTTAGATGGCCTTCCTTGAGCAGGGGGGCTGGACCAGATGATCTTCAGAGGTCCCTTCCAACCTCAACCATTCTGTGATTCTGTGCCACTCAGACCACGACTACTGGCAATAGAGACCATAACTTCAGATAATTCAGGTAGCCTGAATGCTGACCCAGCAATGTGATCTTGCTTCATGTCTCTGCTGCATTCTGTAACTTTCTACTAGATCTGGTAATGCTTATTCATTTTTTCCCCCTTCCCTTTCCTTTCTTTTTCATTCAAGGAAAAAGTGTGAATATTTTTAATTCAAGGAAAGTACTCTTGATATTTCTGCTTCACTGCAGTATAGCTGGCAGGTTCTACTCTGCTTCACAGGTACGATTTTATAGGAACCATCAAAAGACCTTCATTTTGTATTATAAAATAATTTCCATAAACCCATAAGCTTAAAATATCTCCTGCATAGTTTTGGACTTGTTCCATGTCTCTTGCAGCTGAAGGTGTGGAACCTAGCTGCCTGCTCAGCAAATGCCAAAGGGCTAAAGAGTTGAAATATAGACATATGCCCATAAACTTCCTGAAGCTCAGCACAACACATGCTATCTCAAGCTAAGATGAAGGAATACAGACAGATATACCAAAAACAGGGAAAGCCAACATCCAAACCAGCATCTTCAACGACCTCATGCCTTCAGACTCAAAAGTAAAGAAGTAGCTTGCCTTCTCCTGGTCAGCAATTAGTAATATTTGTATTCTTTAGTTCAAGGAAATGCCTACAGGATATTCCTTACTATATGAACAGAGTTATTTTAAAATTAAAACCAGTACTATTAAGAGTACATGGTCCCCTTAACTACACTTTTTTCAGAATGCTGCTATTATGGTCTAGTACCATATATTTCTATGGCCTGGCCATAGAAAGAGTTTCCACACAGCTCCAACATTGATAGCTTTTCTCGATACCAGAACCGACAGCCCTTAGCACACATTTGAGTACACTCACCTTTATCTTGTCATCTGTTTCCATAGTGGCTTGAAGTCTCCCATTCACACTGAATACACAGAAGAGGCCATTTTCATAATATATGACACAGTGGCCTTCTCGTGAAGCTTGAATAAGTTTTGGTCTCAGGCAGTTTTCAGGACCTTCTAATGTCCTCAGTAGATCTCCATTCATAGAATGTATGAGACATGGTCCTTCTAATGAGACAGAATAAAATCTCTAGTTACTGATTTACATGCTCATTTAGATACATCATATATCAAATAATAAGTAATGACTTCTACTTAGGTAATCACTATTATAATACCTTATAATGATTTTTACCATGCTTAAGTAGATAGCCTATGGCTTTAAGGGTGCCAGACAGTAAAATGAACAGCTTATCCCTTAAAAGCTTTGTATTAAGGTATTATAGAGCACCTATCAAAACTAGTTAGAGCCCTAGCAGATTTTCTTTTGTGGATTTTCTTTTAAAACTGGTAGTAGTTAATTTTGAGAGCACAAAAATAAATGTACCGAATCCTAAAATGAGGTTTTCAAAATACGTAGACACACAGAGGTAAGTGCAATGAATTTACATACGTAGGTGCTCTAAAAGTGTTCTCGTATTGAGATTTTAACCCATACATGATCCACTAAATATCTGTTGTTTAATATATTTGGACAAACACCTGATTTGCGTGTAAGCCACAACTGTTCACATGCCATGAAACAGAAACACACACAGGTGCATATGGTGAGTACACCCAACTTTGAAAAAGAGTCTCTGAAAAAGTCTCTCTTACTTTGGAAACACTAAGCAGAAAGATCCTAACTCTAAGAAATTTCCAGTTTAAAAATACGTGTGGACCAGCAAATAGGAAAATGATAAACAATACCCATGGAATCAACGCCATTCTTTACAATTTGCCTGCCAAAAGCAGGTCTTTGAGAACACAAATTGGGCATATTAAAGGCTTTGTAGCTAAGCTCAAAAAGCCTGAACACAATTACTCCAAATTTTAGTTGGAAGTTTATATATACCCTTCATCAAACTAACAAGACAGCACATTCTTTTTCTCCTGAAACTCATTTTTGATTCCCTTTCTGAGAAGTTATCCATAACAAACATTCTTCACCATCCTGGCAGTCAAGAGCTGTAGCCAACTGTACGCTATATGCAATTACACTGGATAAACAAACACAAAGAAATAGTCATCAGTAGGCTGTAATAGGGAAACTGAGGTGGTTGCCTCTTCTTGTAAATGTCTGAATAATCCTCAGTTTTAACGTGTTTAAACAGAGGTTTCAAATCCCACAGCAACTAAAAAAAGGTTAGAAATAAAACCACCATAAAGTTAATAAATTCTGCCACCTGAGACTATATACCTTTTTGCATTAGGATTATAGCTTCATGAACAGAAAGAAATGACAACAGCTGCCTTACCTTTTGAACCGCTTATTACCAAGCCAAGTTCAGCACAAATGGCAGCACAGGTGATCTCATAGTCATGTCCTGTCAAAATAGCTCGAGGAGTTGCAAAATCACCTTCAATGAGAAAACAATAAAAGCAATCCTTTGTTACAATCTATTTCTAAAATCACTGCTTTCAATCACTGGAGCGTCTTCAGTTTCCTTGCTCTTTGAGTTCATGTTCCCTACAAATCACTTATATCTACTGTTTGCGTATGGTTGTTCAGTACTCATATCTACATAGTACAGCAGCAGTATACTATAGGAACCCAGCCTGCACATTTTCTAACACACATTAATATAAAAGTCAGGTGTGTAGTGAAAACAAACAGAAGTTGGAGCACACAGATTTGCATTTTCCCCTCCCTCCATCTCCCCCCCCCTTTTTTTTTTCTGTGGAGGAAGAGATTGTAATCAATTACTACCTTTTCCTGTAACAGGCATAAGTAAACACAAGTGTCACTATGACAGGTACTGAGAGGAGATACCTACAGTGCTCAAAGATGAAGTAAAACATCCATTGACTTATTTTAATCTAGTAACTGCTCAAACCTCAGCCTGATGTCTAGTTCCTTGTAAGAATGTGGAGCTTGGAACCTAATCAGTATGAATTTTGGAGATTGCAAAATCAAAACACCCAAACCCAACATTAATTACCATTGCTCCTAATAGACATTTACGTGTAACAAGAACAAATAAAACTCTATTTTTCTGAGATTCTCTTTGTAATCAAACATATATGGATACCATAAAGAAATTTTACAACTGGCACATTGAAAGGAAAAAAAAAAATATTCTCCAGGTCAAGACACAGAAAGGGTAAGCAAATGCTACAAAGCTCTTTAAATAGTTTTATAACTTCACTCACAGGTCATTCACTGGATCACTCTCTTCAAGAATGACAGCATTTCATGGAAATCACAATGTTATTTTTGTAATACCATATAATTAGTTCATTCATAGCATTTTACAAAGCATTTAAACTCTCAAGAATGTATCTTGAGCAATGTTATCATGTAGTTTCAAAAAGGATTAGACGAGTTTTTAAGCAGCAGGGAATAAGTCACTTCACAATAAATGATGATATGTGAGATACCAACAAGGCAGTAAAGCAGTGGTAAAATCAAACTTTTTTTACTTCAAAATCAGGAGATGATTTTGCAAAGAGACAGAGTAATAATAGGGCCAATGACTCCTCTGGTTACTAAGGTAGCAACATTTAAATTATATTTGGGGTTGTAACTTTTCAAAAGATAAAAAAAGCATAATGTCATTAGTTTGTCCATGTAGAGGCTTAACAGTACTAGCAATACTGGTACTGGGTCTCATTAGAAATTATGGAAATCTATTAAAACAGGTAGCTACCCAGACCCTGCATGTGTACAGTGAGAGACTTCCATGGAAAAGAAGTGCAGATCTGGGCTTGCATAGATAAAAGCTTAGCTTACTCTTAATATTTTATATTTTTACTCAGATCATTTGCAACACCTCCCAGAGTGTCTGTGTAGCTGCCACATTCAAATGGCTTTTTAGAAAAGGTCATAATCCATGACAAAGTCTCAGATCAAGGATTTCAAAATTTGATTTATTCTGCAGTTACTGTTATAATCTATAATTTATATCCACAATACAAAATCCTGAAAACTAAATAAATCTGTTTCTTCTTGATACATACATATACATGAAATATAAATGTGTGCATATACACACACACACATATGCATGTATGTAATCAGCATGTTAAATCTGAAAATGCTTTGATGCAACTTGCTGAATTGTCCCTAATCTCTTAATAAACAACCACTAAAAGCTATTGCTTTTGTTTCATATGATGTTTGGCAAAACACACTCAAACCCAGGAAGTATGGCAGACAGTTCAGAAGCAAAGGAAAAACTCCCAACAAATTAGAAGCATAAGGGTAGACTTAATGACCTCTAGGTACTTCTTAGGTGGCTGGTCCTATGAATGCTCACAAACCTTTTAGAAAAAGTTTGCTCTACTGAACTTGCCTCACCTAAACATAGTGCAGGCATCTTAGAAGATTCATGAGTGAACATTGTGTAGACAAGCCACAATTCTGCAGTTTTAGGGGAAAATCTAACAGCAACCATAACAGTCTTATTATCCAGTAAGAATTTAATTTTCTTGACCCAATTCTTTCTCTCTGTTGTCCCCAAGCCATAAAAGAGGAGGCAGCTTTGTGCATTTAAAGCTCTTGCTAGTTTGCTTGCTTTTAAATAAGCTGCCTACGTTAGCAAAATTCTAGAATTCTGGTTTTATTGCTTTATTTTTCTTTGCTTTCAGAAATTCTATTTAACACATACTTGCATAGATCAGCAAGCAATTAATCTAATTATATGCTACACATGTTAATGAAACTTTTGAAATCAGGGAAGTTTTAAATGTACAATGTTGCAGTGAATATAATATGAATATAAGATGCTGGAGTCAGAAGGACTTATAAGAAGCAATGTCTGAATGAATTATTAGGAGGTGCAGACAAGATCTTTAGAGTAAACTTATTGCTTACAGCAACTACATTACTGTAGGCTTTACCTACATTAGGCTGTCAGTAACTATATACATGAAATGTAGGAGATAAGATTCTTAAAACAAGAAGTAGAAACTGAGCATATATATTTATCACAGTCCACAGAAAAGTCAAATTATGTAAGTAACGTTTGCAGTCTTTTTAGAATTGGGACGTGATTTCAAACATAAAAGAGTACAAATCTACAGGTGGCAGGATCACCATTTCATAAATTATATGAATTGTTTTCTAAATTACACTTGTTCTAAAGAAATACTTTAATGCAAAAGCGTGATAGAAGAAATCTGAATAGTATCTTTAAAGAAATTGGGATGTGAATAAATACTGTAAAAGAGGAGTCCTGCGAAAAGTCAGGCTTACTCCTTTGATAAGAATGTCAAGTATTTAGGGGTTTCCAAGCCTCTGATTTTCCAAATAATGGGGTCAACTTAAAAGCTGGTCATAGAGCAGAACAGATTTCTTTAAAAGCTTTTAAATTGTTATTGCTTTAGAAGATTGTCATGGTTTTCAATAATGCAAAGAGAAAATTTTATTTTGTTGCTGGTTTAAGGGGCACCACTTCAAACTTTTCTAAATTGTTTTAGGGGAACCGGCTTGCAGACCTTTTGAAAAGCTGGGGAAGTGACTTCAAAGGGAAAAGAGTCTTTGTCCGCTAAGCAGGTTTACGACCACTGATGCAAACCCTAACTAAGGACTGAAAAGAATACTCAGTGCATCTTTATGGAGATCCTTAAGGAAGATGAACAAGTCAAATGAGATTAAAGACAGTTCAAATCCTAGCACTAATAACCAAGACACAACAGTTTTACAGATGTGCTTTTCTCAGCATAGTATATAATAATATCCTTAGTCTATACCATTGCTGGATTGCTACTTGAAGTTGAACGCTGTAAGAATCCCAATGCCACATTCACATTGCAACAAATGTCGTCAATGATTTATTTAAGTCACAGGAGGTATGCGTAAAGTTATTTTCCAGTAATGGACAGAATACTTTACCTTTACAGTAACCACTCAAATTATTTCAAAAGAACTCTCCTACATTCCAATAAATAATTTCTGCAAAGCTGTTTTCCCATAGAAAATAGCATAAAATATCACTCTTCCTTAAGTGACCAAAGTACATTTTAAATCATAAAATTCAAGCTTCAGAAGATAAAAGAAGAGCACGTGATATCAGGTCAGCTTATGGTGATATTTCAGTGAAAAAATGTTAGGCGTTTGGAAATTACGTTTAAAAAGGAACAGTGGGATTATAGCAAAGTCAAAACTTTCTTCTAGTTTAATGACATCCAGAAGAAGATACTCCTTACTGGATAACAAGAAATTGGTTTGTGTTGCTGGGTCTTTCTCCACTATTTTTTCAGCTTCGGTGATGTTACAAAACAAAACAGGATCATGAGACTTCCGCTTTCTATATTTTCAGCACTAAGCTGTAAGAGCTGAGCCAAACATAGGAACTCATTTAAAGAAAAATCTCTCCCTAAAAAGAAATCAAACTAGAGATCGACTGAAAAACTTACCTCACAGTGAAATATGAGATACACTTACTACTATTTCTGGATGAGATAATATTATGCAACACATTAAAATATAAAATATTTGAGTATGCTCCCTTTTATGTTTTATGCTGAGAAGACAGTTAATTACGGTAAGTCACAGAGAGCCAAACAGTCATTTCTAAATTATTATTCTATGATTACAGAGGCTGTAGGGCACTCTTAAATGGCAAATTAATTATGTGATTTTACATCAATATAAAATTCGAATTAAATGAAGCATCAGTTAATCTAACTATCTTTTACCTACTTCTTATGAAAATCAGTGATTGAGTACTTTCTCAGAAGGATACATCAACCAAACCAAATTATATATGTAAGAAAAGTCTTCTAAAAATCATTTTACAAATTTTGAAGTTGCTTCATATGATAAAAATTGAGGAAAACAATAAAAGGTTTGAAATCAATTTGTGAAGTACAAATGTACTTACAGAATATATGATATTTGGACAAAAGTGCTTTCAGCAAAATGTAAGTAAATCAAGAAAACTAATTTGCTGCTAGGCTTCTGTGTTGATTATATAGCAAGTTTCAGAGTTCAATTACATCAAAGTGATGACTGTCAATTATTATATAAACTCTGTGCATTAACATTATTTATAGATCACACACAGCGAACATTTAAATAACAGCCAACTGGTTAAAAACACATTTCACTGGTGCAGAAAGGCTAGCTCTTTGATGGATGTGAGATCTTACTAAAGTGATACCACACAATATTACTGAAGTATTCCTAAAACTTCAGTTTGAATAATCTTTTCTTTGTAAATATGCATTTTTATGTAACAAGGTAATCTTTTTATACTATATAGGAACTTCATTGTTGTCCGGTTCTTCACATGACACTCCATCAGCATTCCCTCTAATTCCTTCAAACTACTTCCCATCTGTTCAGACTTTTTTTTACAACAAAAAGTACAACCTTATGCCTAGATGCAAGTTTTGTTTTTGCAAAAAACACTTCAACCGTACATTTTCTGAAAAAGGAACAATATCGTTGAACAACATATCATTCCATCCTGAAGCAAAATCTTAAAACATAAAACACAGAACATGCTTTAGTGCTGTTATGTTTGCTCAGTAACGAAAAAAAAAAAGATTTAGATTTATCTTGTAGAATTCATTTCAGCAAATATAACACAGGAAAGGTTTACTGTACCCCTCCCGCAGTCACACTGTGCAACAAGTGACTAACATATATTCAGTACCAATATGAGATTTTTCCTACACATTGTGTCATGAGAACAGATTCACTATGGTTCCAAAAGAAGCACAGTAAAGAAAAAGATTTAACAGGCCTTCATGAATTGGATATTACAATTCAGATTTCAAAAGTCAATAATGCCCAGCCTCTTAATTCCTACACCATATGCAATACGAAGCTTTCTGGAACGAGTTCACCCTTAGTGGGGATTCATCTGCTGAAGTCCTGGAAGTCATTCA